AAATGACAAGTCCTGATCAAAGAGTTATTAGGCCTATGTACTGAAAGAATGTGGTCTCAGTTATGTATAACACACACACGTATCAAAGTATAAAGCTGGCGGCACTTTATATTTTTATTATTGTTGACAAAGTATCTGTAAAGTATCTGTCTAGAGAGGACAGAAAGCTTTCAAATGGGTCACACATATGACCTGAAACAGCACTGTGGATCCTGTTGGCATCATCATCAGGTCAGAATTGGTTTAATCGTGTGTTTTATGACCAGAAATACCTGCAAAACAAATTCCCATCAGCCTCAACGGTAGTTTGCTAACACGCTGAACTAAGATGGTAAACATGCTTAAAATCTGCACGTTAGCATTGTCACTGTGACAAGGTTAACTTCACTCAAACAGGAGTACACTAATAGGAACAGTGAGTACTTACACAGTGTGGCAATAGAGCTCTATGGCACAGAGGAATCAGCTGTATCAGGTGGTTGTTGTTAGTAGGATGCATAAAAATAAAAGTAAAGAATCACACAGGTTTGAAAGGAAAACGTTCAAACATCCTGTCACTTTAACGGTCACCATTCAGCCTTTGACAACTTGATAATGTGGTTGCTTGAACCTGCCCTCCAGGACTTGAGACTTGGACATGCCCCAAAAGACTTAAAACAGATATTTTAATGTGCGGGCTACCTTTCTCGATTCTTTCTAATCCTTTTTAATGAAAACCGATGTGTCCATATTACAGTGATCACAGCAGAGGTCAGTTGTTGTGCACCTGACGTGTTGTGTTGACTTGCAGGTGTACTGTCCAGAGCCACAGAGGGCTCGGGTAGATGTGTTTGACCTTCTCTCTGATGGTCGACATATTGCCCATGTAGGTTGCCGCTCTGCTCACAGCAAAAGCACAGAGAGCCCAATCAGACCACTTCATTTATGATCAGCAGCGTTGGAAGAATGAATGTGATGCATGGGAGTCCAACAATCGTCCTGATTAATATCCTGTGACTGTTACGCACAGTTTAACAATTGTCCCAATTTATTAAACATCTGAAAATATCTCAAGATATAAGATGATGAGATATGTTTTTTTTATTGCCCTCTTCAAATAAAAATAAAAAATGTTAAGAAGCAAATCACACACAATATTTAATCAGCTGACAGATCATATCGAGTGTAAAGAGGTAACTAGAATACTGAATAGGGATAAATGATTATGGGTGCAATTATAATTACGGTGCAATTATCCTGATTGTTTTACCAGTTTATCATGATTATCTGTCTGAGTGATCTGATGAACAAATATTTTTATTGCACTTTCTGCATCTCATATCAACATATTGACTGCTGATCACTAGAATACGCTCCATATTTCCTCCTTTCTAATTTATTGATGTGCTAAAGTGATTATACGCAATAATGGCATATGTCTGTGCACTCCTCATATATTGTAACAGATGGCCAACTGGCCTAGTTAGTTATCCTAGTTTAGTATTCAGTGCGGCCGCCAGGGAGAGCAGTACAGTGTGAAGTTCAGCCTACAGTATCTGTCATCTTTCTAGAATGGTAGATTAACTTTTTCCCCACAGGCTCTGTTTCTGTCTTACTGTCACGCTAAAGCCCGAGCTTTTCTAATTCCCTCACAGCAGCTAATCACAACTTCACGCACGCTGTCTAATGAACAGGTTTGGAAATCTACAGGCTTATATTAACGTCTAATCTCTGGCTCCAAACCGGACCGAAATGACGCCGACTTGCTCGTGATTACATCTTGAAATCTGCTTGACAACCTTTCAGCGCTAATTTACAGATTTTGCGTTTTGTTTAAAATGTCATTAACGGAACATCTTTTAAATTCCCTTTCCTGTCGCAGAGTTTGCCTCGCATCATGGTGCAGTCAGCCAGCGTTGAAGAGGGCATGAGCAAACCGCAGCAGCCAGTAAGTTCCCCCATGCCCCGGATGGTGTTACAGGTATCTGTATGTACCGGGAATGCAGACATGTAAACTGACTTTTCGTGTGTGGCCAAACCATTTTATTTGTCATCATTTAAAGACATGTTTTCCTTGCAGGAACTATTGAATCACAATCATACAAACACTCTCACCAATATTACTCTGGAGCTATCTGTAAAATGGGATGGTGGTAAATGATAATAAAAGCAGTTTAATTATGAGTTTTTATTATTATTTTGTTGTAATCTTATTTGTATATGTCTAGATGGCTTTTTTGGTTTATAGGACGGTTTAATGGATGGCAGTTCACTTTGTACTTTTAACTTTTTTTATTTTCTTTGTTTCCTGTTTTGTTTTGCAATAACTGGCAGACACAGTTGGTAACTTAATTAGCCTCGCAGCGTGGCATTACGTTGTCTGTACAGGTTTGTAGAGATCTCTTTAAAGCTGCTTTAATCAGTATGTTTATATCAATGTGTGTAGGATTTAGTGGCAGCAAGCAGCTTTTTCCAGTGGAAAAGCTCAGATAAACCGATTGTACACTACATGGCCGCCAACAAACAGCAGACAGACAAAGTAAGCAACTAGCTTGTGAACATAGTAGAGTGTTTAGCAGCTAAAGATCCTGATACTTCCCCCAGGAGACGACGAGACCAAAACATGTGCATTCTAATCGGTAGTTCAGATCGATAGTACAGTATTGTAATTTCTACAGACCTTCAGACAAGGATTCATCCCTTGGGTGCATTTTATGTCACTACCGTTGCCATGGTTTCCCTCTTAGGTTCCGATTGAGGAAATCATTCCTCCCGACTTCCAAATAGAGAGCCCCAGATCCGTGCCCCTACCACCGCCAATCATCCCGGAGACGGACGACTCTATCCCCAGCCCGAGCGAAGCATCGAGCGGATACATCTCGAGTAGCATATCTACAGCAACTCTGTCAGACGTCTACACCCTGAGCTGGGACCTGCCTCCGTTCTCCCGCAGCAGAGCCGACAGCTTTGACGCTGTGCCATATGAGGATGAAGAGAACAACAAAGTGACCTATCCTGAATCTTTTCCTGTGGACCAATCAGAGTATCAGGAGTCACTGCTGGTTTTGGACGGTAAAGCCGATGAAGAGAGAACGGACTCCACGCCATCCAAAGCAGACGATACTGAATCAGATTCAAACCCGAGTCAACAAGAACCAGATCAGTCTCCATCAGTCCAGTTGAAGGAGCAAGAAGAACCTGATTCAGTTGCAGAATTAGACTTACCACGCCAGTCCAAACAAAAGCCAGACTCAACAATTGATCACATTGGATCAGAACAATTAGACAATTCGGAGCCACTTAAAGATTCTTTGTTAGTCGAAGAGAATAAAACCAAACAGACAGAAGTTTCACAAACAGAACTCGAGGTAGCTGCCACTGATGAAGAAGAAGCTGATCTTTCACAAGCGTATGCACAAGAAGATCAAAGCCAGTCTGTCGTCTGTCAGCCGCAGCAGCCCAAACAAGACCAAACAACCTTCAACAGTGCTCAAGATCCAGCTCCAAATCTGATCTCGCCTGTGTCTGAACTCTTGGTTCCAGCTCCTGCCTCATCTGGAGATCTGGTTCTTCAAGGAACATCAGAGGAACAGGCCACTCCTGAGATCTCAAACCCAAATGGCACCTCCATCCCGACTTCATCCTCAACCACAGATGAAGTCCAACAGAACGCAGCTGCCAGTGTGTCCTCGAAGGCCACCACAACTCCGGATCCTTCTCTGTTCAGTGTTAAGCCTTCCAAACCTGATGTCTCAGTGGCAAACCCCTTCAAGATCCAGAAAGTGAAGTCTTCAGACCTCAAATCCTTTCATCGTATTCTGGTCGAGGAGGAGGACAAGCCCGCGCAGGTGGACCGGGCCAGCAGCCTTGGGACAGGACTCAACCTCTCTGTGCCGATGGAAAGCCTGGAAATTATCTCTGACTCTGAGGAGGGAGATGCAGCCGCTAATACTGTTCTTCCTGACTGGTTGAAAGAAGGGGAGTTTGTGACCGTGGGCACCAATAAGAGCGGCACCGTGCGTTACGTTGGACCCACAGATTTTGCAGAGGGTACCTGGGTGGGAGTGGAATTGGAGGTACCAGCAGGTGAGTAGAACAGCGCCCAACCCCGTGACCTGACCTCACTGCATTCTCTGTGTACATTATTCTTAGTTCTCTCCCCACTCAGAATCTCAAACAAACCTTTTCTGCCTCTCTCCAGGGAAGAATGACGGTTCAGTGGGTGGCAAGCACTACTTCCACTGTAACCCTGGTTACGGGGTGCTGGTAAGGCCGGACAGGGTGAGCCGGTGTAGCGCTAAGCGCCGTCGCCAGCATCAGCAGCAAAAGCGCCGTAGTGCCAACCTGTCTGGATCCAGCCCGAACCTGGCAGCCCTCACCGCTCTGGCCAAAGGTGAAGGTGGCGGGGCATTGAGCGGCCGCAGCAGAGGAGAGAACCGCAAGTCGTGGAACACTTGAGAGGCTCAGTATCTGCTAAACGGCTAATTGCCGGACACCCACTCAGCCATCACCCACATGCAGCAGCTGGTTGATGTGATTATAGGGTACGCTTTCAGAAAGAATGACAATCCAGTGTTTTATTTGGCCAGATCTGCTACAGGCTTCACTGTATCTGCTGTTGACACAAGATGAGTCACTCTATGCTCCTCTGTTGGTAGACGGAACCGTCTCACCCATCATCTGTTTAAGGACTGTATCCCTACCTAATGTACTTAGTAATTGAAAACTACAGACACATATTGAATGTTTTATCAGAAAATGTGAATGTTTTTACATTTGTAGATGCAAATAACCATTTGTCTGTAATTCATTTTTCTTTTAAACGGTGGATGTCTGATTTTGGTTACACAACACCTTCCTGTGCTCATATTTCCACTGTTCATGTATTATGCAGCTGCATGTCTGGATAGACTTCCAAGTGTCGTAAATTGCTCTGTACCTACAGGTATTGTCTGATTGGATGCTGTTTTGTTTTTATTCTTGTGCCTTGAAATATTACGACTACTACTCAGCAAATGTGCCTTAGTGATAAACCACCAAATGATGTGCTGCTGGTAGGTTGACAACCATTTACCTGGGGCTTATTTCAGCTCTTGAATGTGTATTTCTACTGTTTCATAAAACAAAACTTGCACTCCTTTTTCTGACACTGAAATTTTACATTTTTAATCAGCTTCGTCTCCATGCAAGTGTGTCGATTGATTTTTCGCTAGCAAGTTTAGAATTATTGTGTGTGTATGGGAACCCATTGATTTGAACAAGATATAAGGATACTCGAGGGACTGTGTTGGTTGTAATGCATGTAGTATTAATTTTTGTCTGGTAAATAAGATATTTTATACTTGTGCATTCAAGTTGATCTTTTTGACTGCCTCACTGCTTATTTATTTAAAAATGAAGACATGATATTGATAATGAAAAGCAAAATCAACTTTTTATATTGTCAAATAAATTTCATTCTGCTGCCATGACGTGACATATTTGTGTAGATATTTGTAACCAGAAGACTCAGAAACAGCCTCATTGATATAGCTTTATTCTCTTGTACATTATATATAATACTAAAATAAACACAAGTTAAAAAAATGAACAAAGAAACTGTACAAAAAAATGTATATATACTACATCTTAATTACAGAACAGTCTACTGTCCAAAAAAGGCACTAAATTCTGAAATGGGCAATACAGTAATTTTGAACATAACTAGATTTGAGATTGATACAACAGCATTCAGTCCTCTTTTTCAGAGCTATATTGGGATGAGGTGGATGGTGTTTTCACTGGGGACACAGAAGGACATGTAGACTTGTTGACCCTGACACACCACGAGAGGACACCCCTTCAGAGTAAGCACTACCACTGGAGTACACACGACATTGGGTGGGAGAGCCTGCTTCAGGTTTCTGTCTCGTTATTCAGATTAATGCGTTTCCAGTTTTCTCTTGGAAAAGCACAGGATCTTTACTTCTTGAGCACCTGGGGGGGGGGGGGGGTTCTTTTCCATCCCATAAACATTTCTGTCAAGCTTGAAGGCTCGTGTAAAATACTGCTGGATTAAAACTTGTTCTTGCTAATTGGGCCGTGGCATCTCTCAGACACTAAGGCAATTCATTTAAGTGTCTTATAGTGAGAGAATAATCTCTAAATGCACTCTTTGTAGTCTTTTCCTTCCACGCACAACTTATTTCACTATTTCTAGAATACAATATTATTATTCTGTATGGGGAGAGAACGTCACACCAAACTCCATAGAAAAAATCCTTACAATAGCCCGTTGATGGTGAACAATGTTTTAATCAACATACACTCTACTCTCACTGCTTGGCAAGTGAGTAGTGTGTGTCAATTCTAAAAATGTGCCTCCATTATATCAGAGTCTGAGGTCTGAAGGGGAATAGCTAACTCATATGTTTTGGGTGTCAGTAGCCAAACATACACACATTTTCAGTTCATTTACAGTTCCAGATATGGAACATTTCACCAAACCACATAATCAAACACAATTTTATTGTGTTTCCAATAACTTTAATAGTATGGCAACGGAACAAGATGAATTGTACTTTCATACAAATCTAAATGCAGTCAGTACTTAGTAATAGATATGTAATTGTAGTTATTCTAATGTCTGTAAGAGGAAGGTCGACATTAAATCACTGGATTTCACTATGGAGTCTGGTGTGTCGATTCTTTAAGGAGAGAACAGCACATACTGGGGCTTTGATTTAATACGATACGGTGTGTGAAGCAGCTGCACTGAAATGTTTGTTCACACCAGCCCCATTATAGTATACTGGACGTTTGCTGTTTCAAAAGGGAGGCTCAAGGGAAGGTAGATTACATTTTAAGCTAAGTCAAGAGCGATTATTTTTTAAATAAGGTGCATCATCATTCATCTCTCACAAAATAGCTTTCTACCTCAGACACAAACAGGGGAGACTGCTGTTCAGTCAAATAAGGGATGACACACAAAAAAATGGTTTAAATGATAACATAAAAAATAAGTTCAGGAGAAATGAAAAAGCATGATTAATTTAACAATAAAAGCATGTTTCATTTCAAAACATATGTCATTCTTTTTTGTATATTACCATAAAAAATGAGTATAAATACATATTGTTTTTATCTTTCAACCCTTTGTTTTAGAAACACAGGTCCCAGTACTGAGTCACTGTATCCGCAGCTTCGTACACACAGAAGCAATAGATTTAAATAGAGCTTTACTAGACTAGAGCCCAGGGCTGGGAGCTGTTCTACAAGCAGGATCCAGATACCATTACTTGATGCATCACCAATATCCATATCTGACTATTTAAAACATGATGAATTACATGAGGGTTCCTGGCTATTCAATCCTGCTTTGTAGAAGATTTTCCCAGTTCTCCAAAACCATCGCTAAGGCAGGGGTTCCTTCAGAGCAACAGTGGGGCATTTTGGGAAATACGCTCATCAGCTTTCTGGCTGAGACGGATGAGAAGGTTGATAGCACTCTCGCGTCTGTACGCTAAATGTGAAGCTGCAGCTAAGAGACAGTTAGCTTAGCATAATAGCTGGCTTTGGGCACAAGTTTAAAAAAATAATAAAAAACTCACCTAGCAACACATGGTTTCTACATTTCCACTGTAAGAAGCTAAATGTGAAGCTAACGCCAAGGCGACAGTTCATTTAGCATAGAGACTGGAAGCAGGATCAAACAGCTAGCCAGCATGGCTCTGTCCAATGTGAAAGTCTTTAACTACTAGCACCTAAAAAGCCCACTGATCAACACCATATATCTCCTGGAAAAGTAGAAAAGGCGTGCAGGACGTCACTGTGCCAAAAAATTGTTTCAGCACGTAACCATCGGTCAACTTGACGTTTTTAAACTTCATTTTTTGTAACATTATGGCTTTAATAAAAACGAAATATAACAGGTTAATTAGCGTGCTTCAGAGGTGCTAGCGGGCAGATTTGAGTTTTTTACCTCAGACAGAGCCGCTAGCTGTTTCCATCTGCTTTAGTCTTCGTGCTAAGCTATCTGTCTCCTGGCTTTAGCTTCATATTTAGCAAACAAGCATGAGGGTGGTATCAATCTTCTCGTCTAACTCTCGACTAAAGAGTGAATACGCATATTTCCCAAAAAATCTAAACTTTTATTTGAACCCTTTCACCTTAAGGCCAATTTGAAGATTCCAGTCTGAGACTGAAAAAGCGCTAATACTTGACAATTGGTGATCCCCCAGAAACAGGACTCTACCTTTCAGGGACACACCACTTTGTCTTTGCTTATAACATTACGATGATCTTCATTCAAAGATGGTTTTGGAAAAGTTCCACCTGGGGCAAAAAACAAAAAGTGGAAAATGATTTCCAATGTCACCGCTTTAAATGTATTTGATTCCCTTCAAAGTGGTGCTTTACCTTTGAGGCTATACAGATGAAATAAAAACAGAAACCGTCTCAGAAGTTCTGATATGCTAAACCATTTCCAGTGTGGATTTAGATTTCTTACCACTGATATTAAAAAAAATCTTCTGAAAGCACATTCTTTAGGCTATTATAAAGAGGCAGCGTCACAGAACAAATAGTAAATAGCTTAGGGGTATTTGAATCTTTATATATCTGGCTGCTAACACCTATCTTTACTGACACAGGCCTGCTGTAGTGCCACGCCCACATTTGACGCCACACTGGCTCAAGAAGCTTCACTGGGCGCGAGAAACGACCTACGTACGCCAAAGGAGTTAGTAGAAATCGCTTTGGGTGAACGCGAATACCGCTTTCAGATCAGTCTTAGCTTAGCCTCTACGCTTTTTGCTCCGAGCATCTTTTCCTTTGGCATGGATGACGTTAAAAACAAAGCACGATTCCCCTTATTAGATAGCTTAAGTTTGCTTGATTATCACATTGAGCCTAAATTGATTCTCGTAGCCTCGAGTACTTAACGATAGTGGCACTGGGAAACTAAAGGCAAAATGACCGTATATCCAGCTGCTGTTTGGGTTGAAAACAGAGGGAAATGCGGGTGGAAGAACTAAAACCGCTGCTGCTGTTGGACTTTATTCTGGCATTTTATATGCGTACTAAAAAGTTTCTTGTTCTTCCTCGTTGTCGGGGAGAAAACTTCAAAACCTGCTGTATACTGCATAAAAGTAAAGGTGTAGTTGTCCGTATGAAATTAAGGCTACTTCTTTTTTTAGCTGACTTTTTAGAGGTTTTTTCATCCAACAGCAGCTCTAACAGAAAGCCACTCCGCTGAGGAATGATAACTACAGAGGGTAGAAGACAGTGACTGGACAGTTCCGTCTGTCCGGTATTATCCATGCCTCGGTGCCAGAGAGGGAGAGGCGGAGACTCTCAGCATCCATCTGTCCAGACCAGACACTGGCCGGAGGCTGCTCTTCCGATGGACTGCATGATGAAGAGGTTGGATTTTGAGGGCTATGTAGGTATGTAGGTAGGTAGGTAAGGTAGCACACCATGAGGTGAGTGTGACTGAGAACCATAAGAACCATATATATATATTATATATACAGTACATGTTATTTTTCTGAGGTTGACGCTGAGGTGAGATAGACTGAGGATCGGCTCAGACAACCAGGCTGGGGGGGAGAGGGGGAGGAGAGGGGGAGTGAGGAAGAGGAGAGGAGAGAGTAAGAGGTATCCTGTGAGGAGAGAGTGTATTGGGGGGGAAAGAGGTGCTGGGAGACGCAATCCCAGACGAGGACCACCGTTTTTTGGGGGGAGGAGGGGAGAGGGGGGGTTTCAAGGCCTGGATTGCCCCCCTTTTCTTCTTTCCGTGGAACATTTTCACGGAGATCAGAGGACGTATGGTGACCCATTTCGCCAGCTGTGTCAATATATTGGGTAGGTTGGGTGGGGGTGATGGGTAATTACTGTTTACATGGACTTTGTGGGAGGAGGGAAGCAGAGAGAGAAGGAACAGTTGGCAGGGGGCTGGCTGAGGGACAGATTCAGGGGGTTTACTAAGTAGTATTATTTTGGTCTCTTTTTTTTCAGCCCCCACTGCCCCCCTTTTCTACTCCTCCTTCCCTTTCCCCTCTCATTTCTCTCTTCCGCTTCCTCCATCCCAGTTCCGGTGCAGTTCATTCGTCCTCCAGGGACTCCGTCTTGATGTCGTTGGGGACCCCTCCGGTTCTGGACAGGGCCAGGATGGTGTGGTTGACGGCAGCCATCTCCACAGCCAGAGAGATGGGGTCCTGGTGCTCGCTGTGCGCCGCGCTGTCGTCCTGAGACAGGGAGGGAAAGTGGGAAGACCACAGTCAGGATGAAATGAGTTTTTGCTATCAAGCTAACCAGCTAACTGTTCGCCTAACCCCTCCCCCCCAATTGCCTAATCATAGCTTAGCAACCGTAGCTAAGCAACTGTTTTTCCCAGGGTGGCGAAGTTAGGACCCGCTCTACTCATAAGGACTGAGAGTCTGTCTGCTCTGCTCCGTGGACAATACGTAGCTGCTCTCTCTTATTCTTTACAGAAGCCGCGACCACGACTAGCAGCATAGAGCAGATTGCATTGACAGGAAGTACAGAATCTGGTCAATTTTCAAAATAAAATACCCTGTGCAGAGTTTGGAGCTAATTTCATGCTAGATTAAAAAAGTATAAATTAACAACAATAAACACAATTAAATCAGACAAAAAAGAAACCACTGAACTATTTAGCCAACTTATCTATGATAGAAGCACTAATATCACGGAAAAAGGACAAAATACACGAATCAACAGCGTCGAGCAGGCAGGACGCTCTGATGACACTTCTGAAGCGCTCTCAGTGGGATCTGAAGACGCAGCGATGACGCAGCCAAACCACAGCCTCATAAAGCCATGTCTGGTGGAGAGGAAGAGTAGGGTCTGACTGGCTCACCCTACAGTAGTGACCCAATGCTGTTTCTTTACTTGGTGGTGAGGGTGCCGACTTTTGGCCAGGGTCATTCAGCTCTAGCCTTTTAGCATTATGCATGTTTAAGACCCTTTTACAGGGTTCTCGTTTTAAAACAAGGCAGCTGGAAACAGAAAGGCAGCTGGAGACGCCGTCTGCAACCAACAAATGGAGCCGACGTTAGCTTAACTGGCTAGCTGATAAAATCTCACAGCGACAGTTGTTGAATGAGAAGCCTGCGTTTGTCTACCTCTGTCTGAAAGGTTGTTTGCTGAGTTGTAAATCTGTGTCACTGTAGTCTAAGTATGTGCCGTCTGAGAGGGAACAGTAGCCGGAGCTCAGCGAATGATCAGTTCTCATCAGAACTTGGTCAGCCCCGCAGT